CCCTGGCTGGGGGGCAGGGCTGGAGGAGAGTGAGTTAGTTTCTGTCTGGGAGCATGGAGGAAGCAGCCTCAGCAAAGGCTGGGGGGTTTAGAAGCCGAGACCCCTTCCCCATATCAAGGGGGGGCTGAGGCATCCTAGGCCTGCCCTGTAACCTGGTGACATCTGTGCTGTGCTGTATACTGGGGAAGCAATAAACCACCTCTATTCTACTGGCTGGCAGGGTCTGTTCGTGCCATTTCGGGGGTGCAGGAGACAGGGGACCCCCAACGTGCCGTCACAGGGGTACTTTCTAAAAAAGGTTGAGAAACACTGCCCTAGAAGAATGTGCAAAGCCAGCATCAGCACAGACCCGTCCCAGGGCACTAGCAGGACGGGGCACGAAGGGGACAGTGATTTAACGATCCCTTTTCATCGCTATCCTGACCCAGCACGTTCTGAAGCGCAGGAGGGACGAGCAGACGGGGTGCCAGAGATACGCCAGCGAGTTAGACCCGCCCCCACCTGCCAGTGCTCAGTTCCTCTCCCCCCCACGAGACCTGCCCATTTAGCACTCACCAGGTTTCCATGGCCATTGGGGCTGCTTGCTTCCGTTAGCTGCCAGCTGATGGAGGCTGCGGGGGACCCTGATCGCTCATTAGCTTCAACGAGAATCACTTTACTGGTAGGAGAAATCATGCCGGAGTTTTTGGCAACCGTAATCGCTGTCTGAACATTGTCACCTAGGAAAAGCGGGGGCAGGGGTGTTATCTGCAAGTTTGCCTTCTGCCGATTTTAGACCTTGAGGCTGGAGGAAATGAAAACCTTTCCCTGACATCCATGTGATCGCACAGCTGGGGGCCAGAGAGATTTCAGCTCGGAAGAGAGACAGTGAAGCAGGTTTATGACAGAGGTAACTACCCGCAGACAGGGCACGGGGCTAGATGGACCTTTGGTCGGACCCAGTGTGGCCGTTCTGCTGTTCTCACGTTCAATGTGGGTATCTGCATGTTTCTGTAATACCTCTGCCTTGCACCTGACCATCACTTGCATCCCAAGGATCCAGAGGAACTGGAAAGTCCCTTTGATACAGATTTCACTTCACCCACTGTTGAAATGCAGCCACCTCTGGTGTGGGAAATGGCCGTAGTTTAACCGCACAGAGCAATGCTCCACAGCCATTTTGGATGTGATGAATTTTTCCTGCCTTTGAAATTCACATTTTATCTGGTCTGGACTGAATCCGGCTGAGGAAACTCTACTGGGTCGCCTGCCAGAAGGGGGCACGTGTATCCCTTCAGCCGAGTAGAAGGTAAAAGAATGAAAAGGGAATTAACTGTGGCGTTGAGGGAAATAGCTCGATTGTCCTGGCACAGCCTAGGGGTAAGATGAGTATCGGAAACCCAAGAAGGCCAGAGCAATGCAACGGTAGCATGGGGGAGCTCACGCAGCCCTTCCCCGGCCGGCCCTCCCTCCCACTTGCATCGCAGGGTGAGGGGAGCGCAGGCCGAGAAGGGAGAGGGACAGAGCCACCGGTAGAACCAAGGAGAGAGATTGTGAGTGCGAGTCAGCCCAGCGGCTTGACTGTGGACGGAGGAGGAAGCCAGGGCTGTGCTCGGGGTCGAGGGGCCACACTGGAAAGCGCCACTTCTGCTGTTCAGCGACAGCGCCCACAAGGCATCTCTCCCGGGAGCTACCTGTGACCATCACGCTCCTGATCCGGGCAGCGCTGAGCTCTTCCAGCACGGGCTTGGTCTCGGCCTTCAGCCGGTTTTCCATGATCAGCAGGCCCAGGAACGTCAGGTCGCTCTCCAGCTCCTCCCTGGGCACGAGGAAGAAAGAGACGTTTCTGAGGAACTTTCCGGAATCTCAGTCTGGTTTTACTGTTGAATCAGCTCACTAGCCAGCATGCTGGGTGCACGTCTATTGCCATCCCAAACAGCCTTTCCAGTGAACTAATTAGCCCTTCCAGCACCCTCCTGAAGCACGCCCATGGAGAAGTTCCCTGCACGCCTGTGGAGAAGTTCCCTGCACGCCCGTGGAGACGTTCCCTGCACGCCCGTGGAGACGTTCCCTGCACGCCCGCGGAAAGTTTCCTGCACGCCCGTGGA